CCATTTTACTACCTTCTCAACATTTGTATAAGTCTTAAAATTATATATAACCATTTTTTTTTTTTTTTTGAGATGAAGTCTCCCTCTGTCTCCCAGGCTGGAGTGCAATGGCACAATCTCAACTCACTGCAACCGCCACCTCCTGGATTCAAGTGATTCTCCTGTCTCACCCTCCTGAGCAGCTCAGACTACAGGTGCGCACCACCAGGCCCAGTTAATTTTTTGTTGTTGTATTTTTAGTAGAGACAAGTTTTCACGATGTTGGCCAGGCTGGGGTCGAACTCCTGACCTCAAGTGACCCACCCACCTTGGCCTCCGAAAGTGCTGGGATTATAGGCATGAGCCACTGTACTTGGCCAACAGAACTTTAAGAACTTACTAAACAGAAGTGATTTTGGCTATTTGTTAAGAACTGGGTGTCGGGGTAAGAGTAGGAGCTGGGAAGCCGACAGAGTCTTTAGAAAGTGGAAACAAGCCCAAGGCGACCAAAGCCACCCCTAATAACCTCACATCCAAAGATGACTTTTCTTTTCCCCTAACATCAGAACTAGGATCACACTTCATATGTGGTTTCAAAGCCTTTTTCCCATTCACCTTTATCTCATTAACTTCCTCATTTTCCTGTGATGTCATTTTTAGGTACTATAAAATACCACGGGGAGAACTGCATTGATGGTGGGGCACTGAGGCAGTGTCCAGTTCCTAACATGACATTGCTACGCCAAACATCCTCGTCAACGAAACTTCACTTGCTATCTAGTTCCCCAGAAAACAATCTAGTTTTTCGAAGCGTTTGCACATTTTAATGTCATTTGCTTGATTTTTGCCAAATTGGCCTCCAGAGAGACCACTGACTGCACCTTGTGAGCAGGGAAGCGAGCATGTGTTTCCTCACATCCTGCCAACACGGGGTGTGGCACTGACCTTTCAGATCCATTCCTGTCCGCCAGGCAAAGAACTCTACGTCATTGTCAGGGCTAGTTTTGTGAGCCATGCTAAACAGGCTTCTACCATTCCTCTATCTGACCTGACAGCTCGCATGAGCTGGCTTCATCTGCCCTTCTGCTTTGAAGCAGCACACACAGGATGTTTAACCAACAGCCGTAGGCGGTGAAGGAGGAGGGTCCCCGGAGCCTGGGACATCTGCTTTCAGTGATGTGCGAGCCGCTGTGGGAGCCCTGAACAGAAGCGGGGATGGCATGCTGCTCTTCCCAAAGCTGCCTGAGCTGCCCTAGTCGGGCCACCTCCCAAGGTGGATTTCCCTCCAAGAACCTTCTCTTCCCCTTGGCTCTCTTTCGGTGGTCTGCCTTAGTATTCACTTTCATGTTCATGGTTAGGCCCAGCTCTTCCTTAAATTTGCAGTGCATCCCATGAAGTCTTGAGCACTGAGGCAGGGGCTGCGGGAGTGCCGCACCGGCGTCAGCGGGGGCTCTTGCTTTGTGCCGAACCAGTCAGTCGAGTAGACAAAGAGTGTGACAGCCCCTCGTACAACAATCTGCCCTTCTTCGTGGGGTCAGTCTGGGCACAAAGCCCAGTGGGGTAGCCACCAGCGAAGGCGGCCAGCAAGCTCTGCGGCTGACACGGGGAGCACAGTGGGGCAGCGGCTCACTGAAGACCCACAGTGAGTACAACGCGGCAGGAAAAAAGAATTAGGAGCTCTTTACAACCCAATCAGGGATGACAGCCAAAACATACCCTGAAATGCAAAGAAGGTGCAGGAACGGCGGGTACATGCACACGTGCACAGGCAGAGGCTGGCGACCCGCCAGGTGGCACTGGCTCAGGGGAAGGGGCACATTTGCAACATCAAATTTGAAAGGAGTACTTTCAAAAGGGTACTCCTTGGTACCTTCTGAATTTTGTTCTATTTGCTTTTGTCTATTGAGAAAAGTAAAAATGCAATCAACAACACTGATCCCGATAAGGTGCCCTCCTTCCTAGTAAAGCTCTTGGCACAAAGCATCGCCCTGCTGGCGTGGCTGCCTGAAAGGCAGGCGCAGGATGTTGTTTCATTCATTCCTTGGCATTTAAAGGGCAATTGCCACGGGCCCTGGAGCTACAGACAGATTCCACAAAAGACACTGATTCATGAAATCAGTTTTAACGTGGCTAACAGATGAAGGAGTGAAGTCATAAACTTAGGATATGGAGAAGGTAGCTTCAAATCTGTCTTGAAAGGATGAATCATTAAGACCAAAAAATCAGGCATGGTGGCTCACACCTGTGATCCCAGCACTTTGGGAGGATGAAGTGGGAGAATCACTTTAGTCCAGTGGTTCAAGACCAGCTTGAACAACGTAGGGAGACTTTGTACAAAAAAATTAAAAACTAGATGGTGTGGTGGCATGTGTTTGTAGTTCTAGGTACTAAGGAGGTTGAGGCAAGAGGATCGCTTGATCCCAAGAGGTCGAGACTGCAGTGAGTCATGAGGGTGCCACTGCACTCCGGCTGGGTGATAGAGTAAGACCCTGTCTCAAAAAACAATACAAAACAAAAGACAAAAAAATTGATGTTGGGTCCACTGGCTCTTTGGGGATGGAAAAGAAAGTTAGATCCTTATCTCATATGGAGGACAAACAGATTACAGATGGGATTAAGAGCTGAAAGAAACAAAGTTATACAATCCTGAAAGAAAAGAAAGCACACTATTTTTATGGTCTTGGTGGGAAAACCCTTCCTCTTCCATACAGAAAAACTAAATCACACAAAAATCCCAATCAATTCTCTGTATTAGCCATAAAACTGCCCTGTGAATCTAAATCTATTCTAAAACAAAACATATATTAAAAAAGTAAAAAAAAAAAAAATTCCAGTTCAGATACATAAAGATTTAAAAAGGACAATTTATAACCTTCAGAGAAAACGCGTTGTAACATAATAAGCAACATGAAGATCGATACAGTTGTTAAGAAGATAAATTACCTGATAGAAACGTGGGTAAGAAATACCAAAAGGTAATTTACAGTAAGAGAAACACAAAAGGCCAATAAATACATGAAAAGATACTCAATTTCACTGGCAATCAGGGAAATGAAAATTAGAACCATGGGATGCCATTTTCTACTCACTAGATTGACTAAAACTCAAAAACAAAACTGAGAATATGTAACATTAATGAGAATGCAGAAAAATACGCATTTTCATACCCATTTGGTGGTATTACTAGTAGGTCCAGCTTAACACACTTTAGGGTTGCAATTTCACTCCAAGGAATTTATCCCATAGAAATATCTGCCCAGATGCTCAAGGCTCATATAAATTGTCACTGGAAGCATGTCCAGTATTAGTAGATGACAGTGGCACACACACTAGGGAAATACTATGCAGGTATGAAAAAGTGTGAGGTTTATTGTGTGTGTGTGAGAGAGGAAAAGAACACAACACAAACACCATGGCCTGGATGGAGCAAATGAGAAACTGCTGGACGAGGGAGGCTAGGGGCCAGCCTAAGAATTTGGACCTGGCCCTGCAGGCAGTGGGGAGCAGGGCAAGGCAGAGACATGATCATCACAGGAACCCACAGAGCAGACAGACTTCGGGGAAGAGGAAGAAACAGAACGCCTCCACCGCCTCCAGGTGAGCTAGTGAGATGAAAGCAGGAAAGGAGATGACTGATTTACATAACCCAGACACGGTCCTGGCTGTCATGGAGTTGGGTTTAGGGTTTAGGATATAGAAGGCAGGAAGGACGGGATTTAGGAATGAAGCGGGTAACAGGTGGGGATGGTAGAAACCTGTAATTTCTGGCTGGTGCAGTGGAGTAGATGGACAGTTTGGGGACAACAGGGAATCAGGAGGCAGGGTCAGCCTCTTCATCCCATGAAGAAATCCCAGACTGCTGGAGCGCAGGCAGCCTCCCGCACTGAGGCCTGGGGAGTCCCCTGACAGAGCTTCCAGAAGTCCCATTCTTTCAGAGAGAGGGTTAAACCTGACCTCTCTGAACTGCACAGGCTGCCTCTCTGCCAGCCAGATTCCCAGGAAATAGAAAAAGAGATGGGACTCCCCACTAAGCACTGAAGTGGAGGCCAGGACAACTGAAGGTGACTTACTCGGTCAACAAGCAGAGCCTCTGCCAGGCTGGGCCCTGGGGTGTGAGGCAATTCAAACTCCAAGCCTGCTCTCAGAGGCCACCCTCTGAGCATTGCAGAGGAAGGGGTCCCAGTGGAGGGTAACACAGAGGTATCTGCCAAAGGTGAGGGGTGGGAAGCGTCATTATAGGCGGGAGGAGCTGCAAAGGAACAGGCCCAGAAAAAGAAGGGAAAAGGGAGAGAGAAGAGGGAGACGAGGGGACGGGAGGGATCTGCTCCTGGGAAGGGCAGGCAATTCTCCAAGACTGGGGCCAAAAGTGGGAGAAGGAAGGTGGAGAGAGGAGAAGAAGGGACAGATCCAGCCAGTGGGCCTTAGCTGCTCCTGGGCTGAGTTTGTTTACTCACTTCATTGATTGGAAAAGAATTTACAGAGCACCAAACAGCACGCCAGGCACTGTTCTAGATCTGGGACGATATGACAGTGACCCTGACAAGGCAGCTGCTCTGGTGGTGACGACTTTGAAGGCAGCCAGGGCCATAAACAAGAAACAAAGAGTAACATAATTTCTGGCAGAGGTAAATGCTAGGCGGAAAAGAAAACGAAGGATGAACTGAGAGTGTGGGAGCGGGAGCGGAAGTGGGGTGATCAGGAGACAAAATTCAGCTGAGGTCTGAATAACAAGAAAGAGCTGAAGACTCGGGAGGGAGCCCCAAACAAAGGAGGGTGGGGGCACTGCAGGCAGGAGCTAATTGCAGAAGGCAATTGTTTTGCTAATAAGACCATGTTAAGAAAATTAGGCTTTTTTTCATTTGTAAAGAACTCATTAGTGAGTTATATTTTTAGTCCTCCCTCCTGGAGATTAGAAATCGGGAGGGGGAGGTTTGTTGGGGCTGAGGGGGAGGATTCTGGATCCCTCTAAGACCCTGAAGAGATGAGTGTGAGGGAGGAGGGGGCGGAGGGGCTGCACGCACCTGCTCCGAGAGGTCACATCCGGGAAGAACTGCACGAGGGCTAGCAGGTTGTGGTGGTGGTCGGACACCCAGCTCAGGATGCAGCACAGCTCCTGGAGCTGCAGATGAGAGGCACCCCATGGGCTGCAGGAGGACACCGCCTTCCTTTCTGCCCTCGCCACCCAGCCCGCACAGCACAGGGGAGTAAGTGGGCTGAGACTGGGGCATTCCGATGACCTCCAGGCAGTGCCATCCCCACCCAGGGCACCCTAGGGGCCACCTCGGTCCCTAGTGACGAAGCTGCATGAGGACCAGGCTCTGGGTGCGTGGTACCTTTCCTGGCCACTCCTGGATGTTCTCCAAGAGCAGGAGCAGAAGCTGCTGGAGGTCGGTCTTGGGCAGCAGGCAGAGCCCCACATCCAGGCCGGTGCGGCACAGCAGCTCAATCAGGCCCATGAGGTTCTCATCAGTGTAGGCCCCCGGCTGGGCCTGGGCACACAGCGACAGAAACTGGAGAGAAAGAGAAGAGGGCAGGGGTGGCCAGGGCGTGGGGGAAGAAGAGAGGACATCGAGGACCTGGGAGACACTTGGGCAGGAGGGACGGCACTGTGAGCCTGAGGCCATGCTGGATAGGAGCTCAGGAAACAGTGAGGCCAGGATTTGGGGCCCCTGCAGGGTCCTGAGTGGCAAGCACAGGTGTGGAAAGTGAGCTTGTCAGAGGCGTTTGATCCAGAGTGACTCCATCTTGAATAGGGACTGGGTAAAATAAGCCTGAGACCTACTGGGCTGCACTCCCAGGAGATTAGGTATTCTTACAAGACAAGATAGGAGGTTGGCACAAGATACAGCTCACAAAGACCCCGCTGATAAAACAGGTTGCAGTCAAGAAGCTGGCCAGATCCCACCAAAACCAAGATGATGACCAGAGTGACCTCTGGTCGGCCTCACTGCTCATTATACGCTAATTATAACGTTATTAGCATGCTAAAAGACACTCCCACCAGCACCATGACAGTTTACACATGCCACCATGATGTCTAGAAAGGGGAGAAACCGTCAGTTCTGGGTTTTGAGCAATTCTGCCTCAGCCCTCCAAGTAGCTGGGATTACAGGCACATGCCTCCATGCCTGGCTAATTTTTGTATTTTTAGTAGAGACGGCGCTTCACCATGATGGCCGGGCTGGTCTCAAATTCCTGACCTCAGGTGATCTACCTGCCTTGGCCTCCCAAAGTGCTGGGATTACAGGTGTGAGCCCCCCTACCCTGCCTATTCCTTTCTTTCTTTTTTTTTCTCCTGAGACAGAGTTTCCCTCGTTGCCCAGACTGGAGTGCAAGTACAATGGCACGATCTCGGCGCACCACAAACTCCACCTCCTGGGTTCAAGCACTTGCTTCTCCTGTCTCAGCCTCCTGAGTAGCTGGGATTACGGTGTGGCAGGCACCGCCACACCTGGCTTTTTGTATTTTTGTTTTTGTTTTTGTTTTGTTTTGTTTTTTTGAGACGGAGTTTCGCTCTTCTTACCCAGGCTGGAGTGCAATGGCGCGATCTCGGCTCACCGCAACCTCCGCCTCCTGGGTTCAGGCAATTCTCCTGCCTCAGCCTCCCGAGCAGCTGGGATTACAGGCACGCGCCACCACGCCCAGCTAATTTTTAGTATTTTTAGTAGAGACGGGGTTTCACCATGTTGACCAGGTTGGTCTCGATCTCTCGACCTCGTGATCCACCCGCCTCGGCCTCCCAAAGTGCTGGGATTACAGGCTTGAGCCACCGCGCCCGGCCGTATTTTTGTTTTTTGAGACAGTCTGGCTCTGTCGCTGGAGTGCAGTGTCATGACCTCAGCTCACTGTAACCTCTGCATCCCAGTTTCAAGCAATTCTCCTGCCTCAGCCTCCCGAGTAGCTGGGCCTACAGGCATGCGCCACCATGCCCAGCTAATTTTTGTATTTTTAGTAGAGACAGGGTTTCACCATGTTGGCCAGGTTGGTCTCGATGTCTTGACCTCATGATCCACTCGCCTCAGCCTCCCAAAGTGCTGGGATTACAGGCGTGAGCCACCACACCCAGCCATTTTTTGTATTTTTAGTAGAAATGAAGCTTCTCCATGTTGGTCAGGCTGATCTCAAACTGACCTCAAATGATCTGCCTGCCTTAGCCTCCCAAAGTGCTGTAATTACAGGCATGAGTCACAGCGCCCAGCCCCAATTTTTTCTTGAGCAAGATCCAAGAACCCTCTCTTGGGGTCTGGATTGGGACCTGTTTCCAGCAACATGGTTTCTGTAGCATCTGGCCCACAGCCAGCATAGTGCCTGCCATGGTGCTGAGCTAGCTGGAGATGCTCCGTGATGCTCCCCAAATTAAGCTGCTGAATGGGTCTGGACTGAGAACCGAGAGTGCCCTGAGTGAAGCAGGCGGCTGGACTCACCTTGTAGATGTGGCTGAGACTGATGTCCAAGGCTACCTCTTGGGGAGCGTCCTGATGCTCGTTCTCACTCAGGCCAGCCTCGCCTGGAAGCACCCTATGGAAGACAACCACAACTGATGACAGGAAACCCAGGAGGTGAGCACAGGGGCAGGATCGACGTGCGGAGCGGGACACCACTGCCCTGGGGCTGCTCATCTGCTGGGCACAGCAAATTCCTCCACATAGATGATCTCATGTAGTTTCTGAGGGCCAAGAATCCAGGGGCAGCTCCGTTGGGTGGTCCTGGTTCAGGGGTCTCTCGGATGTGTCCATCAAGATGTTAGGTGGGGCTGAGCCTGACTGGGCTGGAGGGCCTGCCTCCCAGCTCACTCATGCAGTCATTGATCCGCAGGCCCCAGGACCTCTCCACAGGGTCTCTCCACATGGCTGCTGGTTCTCCAAAGCCAGCAATCAGAAACAGAGGGAGAGGGAATATGCCCGAGACCCTAATATCCAGAATCTACAACGAACTAAAACAGATTTACAAGAAAAACACAAATAAGCCCATTCAAAAGTGGGTGAAGGATATGAACAGACACTTTACAAAAGAAGACATACATAAGGCCAACAGACATATGAAAAAATGCTCATCACTGGCCATTAGAGAAATGCAAATCAAAACTACATTGAGATACCATCTCACACCAGTTAGAATGGTGATCATTAAAAAATCTGGAGACAACAGATGCTGGAGAGGATGTGGAGAAATAGGAACACTTTTACACTGTTGGTGGGAGTGTAAATTAGTTCAACCATTGTGGAAGACAGTGTGGCGATTCCTCAAGGACCCAGACATAGAAATTCCATTTGACCCAGCAATCCCATTACTGGGTATATATCCAAAGGATTATAAATCATTCTATTATAGGGACACATGCACACGAATGTTCACTGCAGCACTGTTTACAATAGCAAAGACCTGGAACCAACCCAAATGCCCATCAATGATAGACTGGACAGGGGAAATGTGGCACATATACACCACGGAATACTATGCAGCCATAAAAAATGATGAGTTCATGTCCTTTGTAGGGACATAAATGAACCGGGAAACCATCATTCTCAGCAAACTGACATGAGAACAGAAAATCAAAAACACCGCATGTTCTCACTCATAGGTGGGTATTGAACAATGAGAACACATGGACACAGGGAGGGGAGCATCACACACTGGGGTCTGTCGGGGGGAAACAGGGGAGGGATAGCGGGGGGGTAGGTAGGTGGGGAGATATAGCATGGGGAGAAATGCCAGATATAGGTGATGGAGAGGAAGGCAGCAAATCACACTGCCATGTGTGTACCTATGCAACAATCTTGCATATTCTTCACATGTACCCCAAAACCTAAAATGCAATTAAAAAAAAAAAAAAAGAGAATATGCCCGAGACCAAGCTGCAGGCTTCCATAATCTAACCTTGAAAGTGACATCCCAGCTTTTCTGCTGGTCACATGACTTGGTGAGGAGGAAGCTACAGAACTGTGTGAACTCCAGGAACAGGGGACCCATGGGGGGCTCCCTGGGGACTGGCTTCCCCATGGTGCCATTCAGGTGAGGCCTCCAGCTTTAGTTTTCCAGGACTTGGAAACCAGAAGATAACATTTCCAATCCCACCAAAGGGTCTTCCTTGAGTCCTCCCTGGGTCCGTTAGCCAACGGTGACCCTGCATGCACTGAAATGTGCACTACGTGGTGCCTGACATGGGGGCTGGCTCGCAAGTCACCAAGTATGGTGGAAACCAGAATAAAAACATCCCTGAAAACCCCATCCAAAGGTGTCAACCTGATGCTGACAAGCCCAGCGTGGCGTTTCCCTGAGTGACGGACGGGATCTGGCTGAGCACCAGATGATGTTAGAGGCCAGGGCTAGGGAACTCCCCCAACCCTTAAAAACCAAGCCACACGCAGGGTGGTGAGATGCTTATGGTGAGGAGGCCTTGGTGGGTCTTAGTGGATGGCAGTCTCATCACCCTTACCACAAGCCTCCCTCCCTGACACACGCTCATGGGATGAGAGCCTGGGTGGGATCACGTTCACCTTCTCTATGGCCGAATGTACACTGTTGATTTGAAGTATGTTAAGAGAGCTTATGGCAAGGCTCCCCTCTGCTGTCTCACCCACTTCTCCACTCTTATGAACTGGCTTAAGGTTCCCGCTAACAGTGGTAAGTGAAGATATTGATGACAATGGGCTCCGTGCAGTCCCCCTGCCATGGGGCAAGAAGAGTGCTGCCCTGTAGCTCCCGCTAAATCTCAGTTCTTCTCTGCCTGGCACTGGCGCTGAGCTCAAAGTGGAAAGAGATGTCTCTGAGGTACCAGGAGGTTGGAGGTGCCAACAAACCAAATTTGGTGGGGGAGTGGAGGATGGGGCTGGGCTCAGCCCTTCTTCCAGATTTCAGCATTTATTAGGGCCACAACTGAATGGGTGAGGCTAGCATTTGCACATCTGGGCACAGGCTGGCCCTGCACCAGTATGTGAGGGGGAGCTCTGGTTCATACCAGCCTTGAGTGAGCATTGCACGCAGATGTAGGTGGGTGTGCTTTCAGGTTTCACAGCACAGGGCAGCCAGAGTCGACTTCAAAAAGCCTGTGGAAGAGAGATGCTGCCAAAGGGAGAAGGCGTGTAGAAGGTGTGAAGTGGTGACACGTGTTCTCTGAGCTGGGGAGGGGAGTGTGGCTGTGAGGAGCACCCTGTCCTCCTTGGGAAGAAATGCCAGACTTCCCAAGTGAATGCCTGGCTGGCTTACCAGGCAGAGCTCCAGAAGTTCATGGGCCCACTTCTCAGGCTCATGGGCAATGTGATGGGCATCCTCTAATCCTTGTCTTTCAGAGGACTCACTTGACTGAACTGCTGGCATCTGCTGCTGCTGTTCTGAGATGCAGCATCAGCTGATCCTCAAAACTCTACCACTGCTCCCAGCAAGGGGCCATGGAGCCCAAGGGATTCAATGGCCCATCTGTCATCTCTGTTCCTCTCCTGGGCTCAGCAGGTTAGAGTGAGCTGATGGCCCCACCATTGGACTCTAGCAGCAACACCGTTGAGCAAAGCAACCTCGTTGGTCCCACTCCTAGCTCCAGGGTCTGTAGTCAGCATCTAGGAACTGGAGTGTGTGTCTTGGAGACACCGTTCAACACTCATTAATCTTATGAGGGACATGTCACTGACCTATATCTAAGTCTCTGCATCTTCTGCCAAAAGTTGAAAAAATAATGAAGTTACCATCCGTATGGAATTCTGACATTCTCAGAGGGAAGACAGCAGGTACAGTGTATGAGCACCACTACTACCTTAACCAAGAGCTGCCTCCTTAACCAACTGCCCCTGTACTTGAAAGGAAGCCCTGTCAGTGTTAACTGTCATGTATTTAACCCTTCGGCCTCTTCACCAGGCTGCTCCTTTGAAAACCAAGTGGCCGGCTGGGTGTGGTGGCTCATGCCTATAATCCCAGCACTTTGGGTGGCTGAGGAAGGCAGATCACCTGAGGTCAGGAGTTCGAGACCAGCCTGGCCAACATGTGAAACCCCATCTCTACTGAAAATACCAAAAAAATCAGCCATCACAGTAGTGCATGCCTATAATCCCAGCTACTTGGGAGGCTGAGGCAGGAGAATAGCTTGAACCTGGTGGCAGAGGTTGCAGTGAGCCGAGATTGCATACTCCAGCCTGGGCAACAAAAGCAAAACTCCAACTCAAAAAAAAGAAAAGAAAGAAAGCTAAGTGGCCAAGGCTTCTGGCACCAGGCAACAGTTCCAGACTTCTGGTCTTCAGAGGCCAGGCCTGCGCACTGGTGCAGGCGTCTGACTTCAGCTGGGCTTGGTAGCAGGAACGGCCTCGGAGGACCATGCACAGCTACCTAAGGACCTCCCCTGTGCTCCTGGGGGAGATGGGGGCACCTGACAAGGCCCTTCTGTGTGGCAGTGTGGACACGAGCCCCTCTCAGGATGCTGATGAGTTCTCCTACCACCCGCTTTCCATTCACATCCATGCTCCATCCTTTCCCCTTCCCCCGAAACGTCCATTTCCCTTCCCCAGTCTGTCTCATCACTGAGCAGAGGGCCACTGATTCCAACAAGGCGGACGCCAAAGGATCTGTACAGCCCAGCTGGGAAAGGGCTGCATGTTTCTGAAAGGAAATCCTGAAGCACTAGATGGGAGATGTAATGGCTTTTAAGGAAATCTGAGATTAGGAAGAAACGGTGGAAGATTTGTCCTTCTCAAAGCAACTATGGAGACGGCCTAGATGCCTAGTGGGGACATGCACAGACGTCTGAGCCCCTCATTTTGAGCCCTGGCTATTGTGAGGTGCTGTGGGTACCCCAGGAGAAGCCCCAGAGGCATCCGTTCCCCTGGATGGAGGCAACCCTGGAATTCATCAGAAAAGAGATGCCTGGGTGGAGCCAGCTGACACAAGACAGCCTCTGAGTTGGTGAGGAGCCAGGATGAGAAGGACCACAGGGAGAAGATGGCCTGCTGTGGGGTTTCTCTCTCTTGTGGCCCGGGCATCCATGAAGGATGCTTGGGGAATCCCATGCTTGGGGAAGAGATGCTTGAACCTCCTTGATGCTTCCTGAATACTCTGGAGGGGTCACCCTCCAACCCATGATAAAACACAGCAGCCTAGGAAACCTACCCAGGCATTTTCACCATCCTCCTACCCCGGGGAAGACATAGAGAGGGGCTCTAGCCAAAGAAGCCTCCCCAGCCCTGAGGGGCTTGTCAAGTGGTCCCCAGCCTGCTCCCAGAGCCGGGAGCAGGAAGTCATCCCTGTGGCTCTCAGCCAGATCCTTGGGGATAGTTCTGAATCCTCTGATTGGAAATGATGTCAACAGCCAGGCCAAGGTGTGGGGCCCAAAGGAGGCAGATGTTAAAATGACGTGTCTGGGGCACGACATGATGTGCTGGCAGCTCCCTGGGCCCTGATCTAGGACAACACGGCTCTGCTTTCCTCCCACACGAGGCTTAATTGGGCCTGGGAAAGCTGAAGTCTGCATGCCTGGGTTTGTGTTCCAAAGTACTTGAGATGATATGTTTAAAGAGCCACAGTTCTTATCCCTCCTGCCCACTCTGCTTCTATAGACAACAGATTTGTCCCATACTGAAGGGCAGGCTGCAGTCAAATCCTGGGAGAACTGGGAAGCGGCTCCTTACAGAGTAGAGTGAGACCTGGTGGCTGTCTTCATTGCCTCCCACTCCCAGGCAGACACAGGAACACTCATCACAGCAGTCACAAGTGGCTCTTCTGGACTCCACGGCCCTTGCTTGCCTCTGACATACATTTGCTTTTCTGAGCGTAATTCTCTCCCCCGCTCATCCAAGATGGTGTGCGATTGCAGTTCTGTGCCAGGAGGAGGCAAGTGGCTCATTACACTAGACATGGAGCTGCAAGCTCCAGGAGGAAAGGGGCAGGAGCGAAGCAGGCTGGCACATGTGTGGGGTATTTATAGCAGAGCTGAGTGTGGTTTGGCTTGGCAGACAATTGCTAAACACAGTCGTGGAACAGGTTCTTAGGAGAGCTTCGACTTTCCATGCAGAGGAACATCTGCCCACTGAGGCGAGGGAAGGGGGACCTGGCACCTCCTGGAGCCGAGGGATTGTCAGCGGGAAGCACTGGGGAAGTCCTATATGACAGCACCCCCACCCCACCCCTAGCTTCAAAACACTCTGTTTCATCTCAAACCACCTTCTTCGAGGGTTCTCAAGAGTTTGGCTGTGCTAAAATTTGTAGAACAAGATGATGACATATAACATTTTTACGACCTTAAGCTAAGTCACCATCCGCCCACCAGAGCTATTTATGCATCACGTGGCACTGTTCCCCGCAGGCAGCGACCAGGCATAGGCAAAAGATCATCACTATTCACCAGAAAGCCAGCTCCAGACTCAACAGGGGCACTCACAACACAAAACTGAGGGTTGTGGGATCATAAAAGCACGCTCTGCTATTCCTGAGTTGATACTAGGCAATGGGTCAAACAAGTGGCCTGAAGAGACTCAAGGGACTAGTATGTCTACAAGGATACTAACCAGGCTGCAAAGTCTAGGTTTCACCGGAGAGGAGAGGGCAGCAAGGGCTGAGTCAGGAAGTGCCAAAAACAGGCTCAGCCATCTTGGGTGCTTCCCATCTCCCTGAGGCTGGGAGCATGGAAATTCCTTCCTGGTTTTGATACTCAGATCCACAGGTGGGGGTGTGTGGTTGTTCTGTAATTCCCTACACATGGGCTAGGGCCTGAGTCCAGCAACTTCCAAATAAATAAGAGAACAGGTGGCTGGGAGTGGGTTGGCTCACACCTGTAATCTCCGAACTTTGGGAGGTCGAAGCAGGACTGCTTGAGCCTAAGAGTTCAAGACCAACCTGGACAACATAGGGAAACCCCACCTCTACAAAAAATTTAAAAATTAGCCAGGTGTGGTGGTGCATGCCTGTAGTCCCAGCTACTCAAGAGGCTGAGGTTGGGGGATCACTTGAGCTTGGGAGGTGGAGTCTGCAGTGAGCTATGACTATACCACTGTATTCTACTCTAGGTGACAGAGCAAGACCCTGTCTCTTAAAAAAAACAAGAGAGAGAGAAAAGGCAGTGAGGAAGGAGAAGTACTCACCTACCACTGTGCCAAAAGGGCCCCAGAGGGTAGAGGGCAGGACTGTAGGCACCCAGGCTGTGGAAAGCCTCCCTGATATCTTGCATTGAGGGGCACCACAGGTGCATGTCTTCATCTGTCAGACCAAAGGGGAGCAGAAAGTTAGAGCAGGGAATGGAGGGCAAGGGACACCACTCCCACGAAGGGGGCTGGTCGTGACCCCTGGCCCAAGGTAACGAGTTTTTGCCTTCTCTGACACCACCGGTGTTATCTGGGGAAATGAAGCAACTGGTTGTTTCCAAGTACTTCTGGAGCTTTGTGAATTTCAATGTTTTATTAAATGTTCTCTTAGCTGGTCTTCAGGGTATGGCTGCACTTGGGATGACCGTTTCCTGACCATCTGGCCATCCACATAAGGCAATGGTCAGGGTGCTCGGCTGCCCATAGCCAAGTGACATGAAGAGTCCTGAGCCAGAGGCCCCGAGCTGCAAGACTCACTGGACACCAAGCTTACATCCTTAGACTCCCCACTGCAAAGCACTGAGGCCAGCACTCAGCCCACTGCTGCCTCTGCAGCATGCTTACTGCTGCAATGTTTGGGTGTCCCCTGGTTCACCGTTCCTGCTGGGAGCACACCTCACCTGCTTCCCACAGCCTGGGGCATGTCTCCTCAGCAAGTGTGCACTATGGGGATCAGTTTCTCTTGACCAAACATCCATGATAAAATCTGACCACATTAACAAACAGAAAACACCTTACATACTCAGGGCCTTTTCTTTTGTCAGACTAAAGACATTTTTACAAGTGGGAGAGTAGAAAGATAAAAAAGAATGTGTCAAGGTATCTTCTCCAAGGATGCCTGTCCAAGACATCCCACCCCACATGCTGTCTGCATTGTAAGCTCCCACACCCCATCCAGGGGCAGAGCCTCCATCTCTACCCTGCTCTCATTCCTCAACATTATCTGACTTGGCAGTTTACTTGCTTCTCTTCTGTCTCTCTCCGATAGAACAGAAGTTCCATGAGGGAAGAAGCCACATCTGTGTTGTCCATTTCTGTAGGCCCCATGCCTAAAAACATGGCTGGCACATGGAAGAATTAAAATGAATGAATGGAGAGAATTCAAAACAAATCTGACCAAGTAGTACACAGTAAAGAGGGTGCTACGTTCTGAGCGTTTATGTTCTCCCAAAGCTCATATGTTGAAATTTAATCCCCAGTGTGATAGTATCAAGAGGTGGCGGCCGGGCGCGGTGGCTCAAGCCTGTAATCCCAGCACTTTGGGAGGCCGAGGCGGGTGGATCACGAGGTCAAGAGATCGAGACCATCCTGGTCAACATGGTGAAACCCCGTCTCTACTAAAAATACAAAAAATTAGCTGGGCATGGTGGCGCGTGCCTGTAATCCCAGCTACTCAGGAGGCTGAGGCAGGAGAATCGCCTGAAGCCAGGAGGCGGAGGTTGCGGTGAGCCGAGATCGCGCCATTGCACTCCAGCCTGGGTAACAAGAGCGAAACTCCGTCTCAAAAAAAAAAAAAAAAAAAAAGAGGTGGGGCCTTTGGGAGAATAATTAGGTCATGAGGGTGGAACTCTCACAAATGGAATCAGTGCCCTGATAAAGAAAGAAGGCCTGGCCGGGCGCGGTGGCTCACGCCTGTAATCCCAGCACTTTGGGAGGCCGAGGCGGGTAGATCACAAGGTCAAGAGATCGAGACCATCCTGGTCAACATGGTGAAACCTCGTCTCTACTAAAAATACAAAAAATCAGCTGGACATGGTGGCATGTGCCTGTAATCCCAGATATTCAGGAGGCTGAGGCAGGAGAATTGCCTGAACCCAGGAGGCGGAGGTTGCGGTGAGCCGAGATCGTGCCATTGCACTCCAGCCTGGGTAACAAGAGTGAAACTCCATCTCAAAAAAAAAAAAAAAAAAAAAAAAAAAAAGAAAGGAGGCCTGAGGGAGTTGGTTGTCTCTTTTACCCTTCTGCCACATGAGGAATCAGCCAGAAGACCTCATCTTGAGGCAGAGAGCAGCTCTCACCAGATGACAAATTTGCTGGTACCTTGATCCTGGACTTCCCAGCCTCTAGAGCTGTAAGCAATAAATTTCCCAGTTTATAAATTACCCAGTCTAAGGTACTTTGTCATAGCAGCTCAAATGGACCAAGACAGGGAGACTAAAAACAAGTCCTAAGATGGGTTGGCAGTAGCCAGAAGGCAGATGTTAAATTTGATAATGGGTAAGGCATCAGAATCAAGAACCTGGAAGCTGGCTTAGGGACACATCAGAAGCACATGCTTGAGCCTTCACCATTCTAGAGGGTGAGTGTCCCACCTTGAGGACCCACTTCAGCACACTCCACCGTGTGCAGGAACTAACCAGGTGTGGAAGATAAAAAGGCAAGCTAGAGGAAACCTTGACCTCAGGGAGCTCACAATATAGGAGGGACAGAAGCCAGATAAAGAAATACAAGTGAATGTGTTTATGAAAAAATCAAAGCAGGTAAAAGGTACAGAGTCTGCTCAGAGGAGCGGGAGTTACCTGAAGGTGCTGAGGGGACAGGAATATGAAATGTGGAAGGTGGAATGGGAAGTGAGGCGCAGGCCTGACACAGAGACAGAAAGGACGGAGGCAAGGCAGCACAAAGCAGCATGGCATGTTGAGACTGGAGGCAGGAATAGGCACAGAGCAGGGAGGGCTGCAGTGGGGTGGGGACTTCCGCAAGGACCACGACAAGAATCAGTTTCCTAAGCGGACTGAGAAGTGCTGGCAACAGTCCTGCCCAGCTGCAGTGCTGGCAGATGGCGGGCAGAGGGTCTCTGAAACCTGCCCAAGGACATTTCTTCGGCAGGCATCGAGTGTCTCTCTTTGGAAATGTATATGGGTTGGGACTCACCAAACAAGTAATTAGACTCTTGGAGGAGGAAAAACTTTCTTGTTTGCTTTTTTTCCCTCTCTCCGGCAACTTAACAAGTAAAGAATGGTAATGATACCCCTTACTCACTTCACAAACGAGCTGGGAAGAATGAAGTCTGCAAAACACAATGAGACTCCACTGGAAAGAGAGAACTGTTCACCAGGGCCTTCGGGGGACTGTGCACGTATGTGCATGCACCTGTGGGTGGCAGATGAACTTTCCAGGGAGGGGAAGACGATCAACCTAGGGCAACGCTCCAGGAGGCCCAGGTGGGCTGGAATCTCCTGCCAAGCAGCCTCAAACCCGAAGGGGGCTGTGCCCGCCTCCCCTTGAGATCCCCACCCTAGCCCATGCAGGGGCATCTTCTGCTGTGAAACCCCGACTCACAGGCAGTAGTGCCTACTCTGCCAGCCTCCAGCCGGGCATCATCCCTTCTCCCCTCTCCTATCCAGCAACTGCTCCACAGCACAGCACAACCCAAGCCAAGGTGTCAGGAACGGTGTCAGAGGAGGGGCCGGGGAGGCCTTGGGACAATTCAGTCCCCATCAGCAGCCCTGGAGGTTGGTGACTTGAGTGACTTGAGGACAGGAAAATACCACCCAGAGCCCATAATTAACACTGCCTAGAAGTGGGCCATGCGCTCAGCTTTTCCTGAAGACTGTTTGTCCCAGATGAGGGCTTTCTGGAGAGCTGACACAGAGGAAACTCAGACGCCAAGCTGCCAGGCTCCAGTTCCCCAACGCAGTTCCTCCAGGCACAGAACAGTCATTTTATGTGACGCCCAGGGGAGCATGAGAGCACTGTCTTTTAAAATGCCAGCATGGGCCGGGCATGGTGGTTCACGCCTGTAATCCCAGCACTTTGGGAGGCTGAAAGGGGTGTATCACCTGAGGTGAGGAGTTCAAGACCAGCCTGAACAATATGGTAAAACCCTGTCTCTACTAAAAAAAAAAAAAAAAAAAAAAAAAAAAAAATTAGACGGGCATGGTGGTGGGTGCCTGTAATCCCAGCTACTCAGGAGGCTGAAGCAGAAAATCACTTGAACCAAGGAGGCGGTTTTGCAGTGAGCTGAGATGCTGCTATTGCACTCCAGCTAGGCGACAGAGTAAGACTCCATCCGAAGAACGGCCCGAAGCCTCTGGGCTCTGTGTAGAGGCTCTGAGTCTGCAGGTATCCCTTTAGGTCACTTTTCTGGGATGCAACTGATGCTTGGGGGTGAGGGGGAGGACCTTGTTTCAATATTGCCAGCTTTAGTCAATCAGCTTTAGCTTTAGTCATTTCAACTGTGCATTCACTTAGCAAATAGCAAGCAAACACCAGGTGCTGTTCTAAATGCTCAGGACCCAGCAGTGAACAGAACACAAAGCAGCCCTGCTCTCGAGGTGCTGGTGTTGGGTGGGGGGCACACAAGGCACACATGAAAGATAAATACACACAATGACGCCGGGTGGCATCCACAGCTTGGAGGAAGGTGGTCGGGGAACACTGGGGCACCCTGAGTGACTTGGGCAGCCTGGCAGAGACCTGAGGCCAGGGAGCACTGTTTTCTTCCAGATTGAGCAAGAAGCCCAGGGTGCTGGACTGGGTGCAAGGCCCAGAGGTTGGGGGTGAGGATGGAGAGGCAGGTGGGGCGAGAGAGGGAAGAACAGCCGGCCTAGGAGACTAGGGCAAGGACCAGGGCTATGAAGGGAAGCCACTGGACTCATAAGCAGGCAGTGTCATTATCAAAAGGAGCCAGGTCCTCAACAAAAAAAATCCTGTATCCCCAAACCATGACACATCCATTTCCTATTTTAAAAACGTGCACATTTTGTTGCCCCTGATGACAGTGTAAGCAGAGGATGCAGGCAGATGAGCATTCTCCCAAATATGTGACACTGCCTCTCCCTGCAGAAAACTGTGTCCTAGGGACACTTCGAGAAATGCTGACTGTTTGCTGTTCTTGGTCTTTCTTTTTTTTTTTTTTTTTTTTTTTTTTGAGACAGAGTTTCGCTCTTGTTACCCAGGCTGGAGTGCAATGGCGCGATCTCGGCTCACCGCAACCTCCGCCTCCTGGGCTCAGGCAATTCTCCTGCCTCAGCCTCCTGAGTAGCTGGGATTACAGGCACGTGCCACCATGCCCAGCTAATTTTTTGTATCTTTAGTAGAGACGGGGTTTCACCATGTTGACCAGGATGGTCTCGATCTCGTGATCCACCTGCCTCAGCCTCCCAAAGTGCT